GTGCCAGATGGCGGTGGGGTCATTAAATTACCGAGGAGCTGCGGAGATCCACGGGCTGCTTGCTCTTTGTGCCGTCAATAAATAAATAAATTAATAGTGGCCCCCACTCGGACTGTCATCCCGGTGAAGTCGAGGCACTTTCAGTCCTTAAATGTGAATTACACGGCAGGAAAGCCTGTTGTTTAACCGGTCTGACACTTAATTTCTTTTTTTTTTTTTTTTTTCCTTTTTCCCCCCTCCATGTTCTTGAAAAGCGAGTGGGCAAGCTGAGTTAAACGTATGGACGGATTGCTATTGTTAAGAAGTATGGTTGCTTTCTTTCACTAGATCCTTGAGTGGAATTAAGACTACTCCCCTCCTCTCCTTTCCTCCCCTGCAATGCAGACATGACCTAAAGATGAACTGAGTTTGCCTCGTGGCAGCCTTCGTTTCACGAATGTTGTCGGTGCTTTCATAAATGTTAATTGAGATTTGTTTGCAGTCTTAACCAGAGGAGTGCCTCAAACCACCTAAAACTGCATGCAGTGATTATTTTGCAGAGCTGGGGTTTGGTGACATGCTGACATACAGCTGTGCAGTAAGTCTTGCTGGCTTGTGTTTTCTGCTCTGACACTTGTTTTTCCCTCTTTCTGTTATGAAGGTTGCCATTAAAGGTATCGAAAGAGAGCTCGTCTGCCCAGCATGCAAGGAATTATTTACCCATCCGCTGATCCTTCCTTGCCAGCACAGTGTCTGTCACAAATGTGTGAAAGAAATACTCTTTGCATTTGAAGACTCTTTTGCTGATGGAGGCTCCGAATCCTCTAATCAGAGTAGCCCACGAATTAAAATCTCTTCTTCCAGCATGGACAGAATTGACAGGATTAGTAGATCAGGTAGGTATCAGAATTTTTGCGCTTTTCCCTAATTTTACGTATTCCACTGGCTTGAGCTGAATAGTATCTGCATTGGTAAAATGTCTTCTCAGTACTCCTGATGCTGCTACAGAGATGACTTAGGGATAGTGCAACCCTTGTTCATTCTGTGGCAAGAACAATGGGAATATTTTTAAGGACAATGCACTTTATTTCACATATAATGTATTTTTCTTTGTGGTGTCCTGTAAATCTTTGTAACCATTGTGTTTGTTTATTCCTGTATTTTCAGTTACATCAAGATGCAATAGCGTCATGTTCAGTAGCGCTGAGATGTAGATTTCAGCAGTTTTATTGCCTGCCAGTAGTACTGTTGAGGTGGTTCTCTCAGGTTTTGGCCAGCCTAAATTCAGTAGTTCTGACAGCCTTCGGAGCCTCCGCAGACTTTGCACGTGATAGTTTTGTGCTACCCATTTCGTTATGCTTACAACAAATCATTTTCCATAGATGATGATCACTGCGCGGTTGCAGAGAACAGATGACTGTAAGAAGACTGCGCTAACAGTCCCTTTCAGTGTGGTCTGCTCGAAGCTTTAAGGAGCACTTAGCTGTAGGACTCCTCACGCTCTTTGTGATACCACACTAGAAAGGTTCTTACAGCCGTCTCTGCCATCCACGCATGAGTTGACCTGCTTTTACACAGATACATCGAAAGTACTTTGTGCATGTTACACTTCTTGAAAGAAACCTCCTCCTGGCTTTTCGGCTTCCTTCCGACATAATTATCCACTTTAAAACCACACTCTGCAGTGCTCTGGCAGAGCCACCCACAAGACAAACCCTACAGCTGTACCGTGTTATTTCATGTGTTACTAACCTTCACCCTCCCCTTCCCAGTTTTCAAAGTTCAAATGTTTTGATTCACCCGCTTCTTTTAAACAACTCCTGAGTTGTTAGGACTGGTACTCCTCCAAATCAGTTTGATAAGCGAATGCTGTGTTTGCTGTAGCTTGGCTGGTTGAGGCGTGCATGATTTGAGGGACTCCGCAAACCAAGCGGCTCGTTATCTTTGTGACAGTCCTGTTTTCTAGATATGGAGTGCACAGCCCCGCAGTCACTGTTCAGCTCCACGTACATACGCTGCAGCTGCTTTCTGAGCCCTCTCTAACTGCAGCATTACATGAAGTTTGAACAAAGAGAGCCCACTGCTGACTGCCTTCTCCTAAATCCAAGCGTGTTCCCTTTTTTCGTCATTAAGGGTAGGGTTCTGGCACGGCATCGTCCACACAGACAGAAGCAGTCACCGTTTTTCGCTAAAGCTGTCTGGTTTGTGTTTTTACTACGAGATTTGCAGAGTTTAGTTCGCAGTGCTGCCATAGCTGTTGGCTGCCCTTCTCGCGAGGTTTAGTGTTGCTGCTTCGTTGCGCCCTTAACGACAGGGCAAGAAGGTTCTGGTACTCCTTCTCCCCTGAGATACATGCATGCAAGTTGTGGCAGGGGTCATAATTTTTAAATCCACAGTAGTCTGCCACCATCCCGGCAAGCTGACGGGAAGTTCTGTGCATTATCTCCTTGTCTGACCTTCTAGCAGAAGGAGATGAATGCTTTCCTAAAGGCTTCATACCAGTTTGATGAGTAGCAAAATGGTGTTGAGGCTTGGAAATAATGGGCTTCCCCCTCTCCCCCCCCCCACAGGAAAATTATCATCTCAGACAGTTCAAATTTGCAAAATGAAAAGCATATGGAAATGGGAGCTTTAAAGGATACACTTGGACATTCAGGTTATACTGTCTTTGCTTCTGATGTTACAGGCGTTGCAGCTCCTTTGCGATGTGGGGTGTGAGGTTTGCTCTGAGATGTTTGGTACCAGTAGTGTTCAACCGGCTTGCCACTCACATTTGTACAGTTCCTGTCTTGCATCTGAAGTGCCGAGACTGTGCATTGCTGTGCCTAATTCGTTTTGTGATCTGTAGGGGAATTTGAAATAAAACAGCCCCATAAGAGAGAAAATGTGCAAGAAGACATCCAAAGTGGGGCCTCACATGTGTAGCAAAAACCCACTAGAATTCCTGGTAGCCTTGTGCGGGGCATGTCACTGCCAAGTTGTCATTGTCATTTTTGAAAATGTGTACAACACCTTCTTCCCTCTGTGGGTTTTTTTTTATTATTTATTTTTCTTTTTTTTTTTCTCTTAAGGAATCTCTGCCATCTCCATGAGCAGTATCACCTATTTAAAATGATTTTTGCATTTAAATTCTTGAGATGGCAGAAGGGACTGGTACACACTCTCTAGTTGTTGTGCACACACAGCTTGCATTCACAAATACAATTTTTCTTAATGTAAAAATGCAGGAAGTCTTTATTTTTCAGTTGAAATGAAGTGTGTTTGCTTCTTAAAATCTAATGTGTTGGTTTAAAAAAACCCCACTGTTTATGTTGTATAGAAAATAATTTTTGATTTAAAAACATTATGTTGCCTATAAAATGAAAAAAAAAGATATTTCTTATTGCTGATCCGTTTTCTGTAATGTTAGTGTAATTGCAATGTTGGTGTAGAGTAAAGGATGTAATGTGGTTATGTTGACAATTGTGCAGCACTGATGGATGATGCAGAACCTGAATGTTTGAAATATCTCTCCATGCACCCCACCCCCAAATCTCTTCTTTCTCCCTTTTTCTGTTCTTCTTAAATACTACAGTTGATCATGTGCTAGGAAATTAAACATTCTTTTCAGCCCTGCAGTAGTTTATCAGCTACAGGAGAGAAAACAGTTGATGCTTTTCATTTGAACCGTTGTAAACCAATGGTATATCTCATTTTTTGATTTCTAAACAGCTTTCTGTTCATTGTTCGCAGCCTCACAGAGGAGGTCTTTTGGGTGGAGAGGTAGAAATGCTTCACTTCTTGTATTGGCTAGAGATAGTCTAGCGTTTAGATCTCGAGTTAAATATTGTTGGTTAGCATATAGCTTTTTGTCAGTGGTCAAGTCCACAAAATGGCTTTTGCAGTGGGCAAAGGTACAGCAAAGGACTTCTATAAGGAAAGCTTTTCATTCTGTTTAACGCTAACTTAAAGGTCAACTGGACTGGAATTCAGTTGAGGGATGGATTATATTTTTTTTGTTGTGTGTATGCATGACTGAACATACATGGATGGGTGCAAAAACCCACGTTCTGCCTTCCCATTAAAACAAAAAATCCAACAGTCACCCCTACGCCCCACGCTTTTTAATTTGCAAGAGTTTACGTGCTCAAGTCTCAATAAAACTGCTGTCTTACTGGTAGTGAAATGCAATTATTAGATTGATCTTTGTAACACTGAGAGGTCAGGGTTGGCCATCACTTTTAAATGGAAGGTAATGCCTGTTCTTCATTGTGTCTGAGCCCACTTAATTTGATAAAGAAGCAGATTGAAATGTACACCATGTGAATCTCAGTAGGTAGTTCCGGATCTGGCAATTTAGTACAGCACATGAATATATGAGGAAAACTAAATATTTTAAATTGATACACTTGTAATGTTTGGCATGCTTAGTGACACAGGTTGAAGGATAGCCAATGCCTCTTCGTTTTAAGTACATCTAATTCCGAACCTGAGCTAGTCTGACCATCTCAGCCACTGTGTGGGCTTGTTAATGTAAATACTTTTTTTGATGTGATGCTCTGTCAAAAATGGGGAAAAAATCCCAAAGTTCCACGTTGCCGTAATATTGACAGGCATGTCAGCAATCTGTAGAAATATTGTGTCCTTCAAGAAAGACGTGAGCTGAACTAAACACAAATCTGAATTTCACACTCGGTGGAGGACAAAGCAGCTAATCGGAAGGGGAAGTTTAAATGCCTCAGCTGAAGACTGAAAGTGTCATAAAACAAAGATATCGTAGGACACCGTCAGAGGTCTTGGGAAGCTGTCCGTATCTGCTCTCTTTGCACAAAGCACCCTGGATTTTGGGGAGGATTAAAGTACCTGAAAATGACATTTTGCAGCTACTGACTTCTCACGTGGTTTTTTTCTTTTCTTTCTTCTTAAAAATCCATCCAAAAGCATTAACTGAGTTTGAGGGGGGTGGCAATATATATTTATATTTTAAAAAAACAAACTCTCATGAGATTCCAGTTGACTTTTAAAATCTTCATTTTTTTAAACTCTCACACATTTAACTTCCATGTTTTCCATAACCATAGAATTCTGGTGATACTGTTTACTTGGAAAACACAGTTGTATCTTTAAGGTGTCTCATCCCTTTGCCAACCATCAGCTGCAGGTTGAGCTTTTCAGCGTTTTAAGTGCTGGTACCTCTCCTCAGGAAGAGGACATTTAAACGTTGTCTTTAAAAGACATACGTAAGATTGCTCTATGACTTGAGTCTTTGCAATCTGTGTCCTAATATTTGTGAGTTTGGAGTCTGAGCATGAGCATATGTTGTGGTAATTTTTTAGTTACTGATCGAGCTATTCATTGCAAGTGCAGCAGTCTGTTTACAAACCACAGTGGAAAATTCCTAATATTTCACAAAATAACATACTTGTTTGTTGTAAACCGGATTGGCCAAGTGTAAAAGAGAATATAGGGAGGACCTAAGTTTCTCTGAGCTGCACATCTAATGTGACTGCAAAATCCATGGGTTTTGCTGCTCTGTTTTTTTTGTGGGTGTTTTTCTTTTTTTTTTTCACTATATAAGCAGAATTCAGTTTTAGCAAACTGGACACAAGACAGATAGGAAAGATAGTGCTTGAAGTAATTTATCGCTTCATCGGTGCTTCCTTTTTAAAATACGAGTGTAGAAATCCTATAAGCAGAAAGCAGATTAATTCTTACTGAATGTTAATATTTTAACACTCTCTAGGCAAAAAGAGAATATTTCCATCCTTTTAAGTATAGAAGTGGCAGAGCACGCCAGGAAACCTAGCAAGTAAACTTCCAGGGTGTAAAACAGGGTGAAAAAGCCCCAACCCTAGGCTCTTCGAGTGCTGTCAATGAAAAGGAGTGAGACACCTGAAGGTGCGAAGGTTTTCCTTGATACTGGATTGCTTTCCATAAGCAGAGTGTCACCAGACTTCACAGAGCATGGCTCGTGATGACGGTCTCGTTTCGGTCCACCACGGGCAGAATGAAAGGCCTCCATTGGGATGCAGCTGAACTCACCTTTGAGTCAAACAAACACCCCTTCCATGTTTGAGCCGCTTGGCCCAGACTTCAAAAGCATGCTACTGGATACAAATTTCAGATTGTATTTTTAAACTTGACCACTGCACCATGGGTTGTGGGTTTTTTTTGTTTTTGTTTTTTTTTTTTTCTTGTTCTATTGCTTTGTCATTGCTTGCGCTCTGGTGTAGCATACTGCTCGTAGGCAGTCCCTGTACGTACGACTCTGTATCATTATTTCCTTAGTTTTAGCAAATGTAAGTGCTCCAGATCCCTTTCTGTAGCTGTTGACTGCATGGTGCTGCATGCGAAATCATCTTTTTGTTGAGGCCATTGTAGAAGTCTGTCTAGAAGATCTCTCTGTGTTCCCGTGTGCGGTGCTAGCTCAGAGCACATGTTGGAAATAGAGCTTGTGTTTTACTGCTGTTGCTGTGCCTTGCATGCGTGTGTTACTGTGTATGCCAAGTTACAGGTACTGCAGGACGTGCAGTTTGGGTAGTTAATTCGCTTCAAGTAAGTACTAAAAAAAAAAAAAAAAAGACATTAAAAAAAAATAATCTCTACTTCCCTTAGCCAGAGAGTTGTATAGCAGTGCCTTGTGTCACCCATACTGTTCTGTAAATGCGGTCTGGTTGTTCTGCTCAGAACCTACAGAAAGGCATGAGACCAGCTGAGTTTGAGACTGCCAGCTTTTACACACTTATTCATGCTCTTGTCATGGCTTCTTAGCTGACAGTCATTCATAGCTACCATGAGGCACATCTCAAAGATTTTTAAAGGAATTAGTTCCTTATGGGAGTGTTGGTTTGTTGTTTTTGTGGTTGGGTTTTTTTTTTTTTTTTTTTTTTTTTTTAAGAGACTGGAAAGGGCCAGGTAGGAAGGGAGGTTCTGGATTGTTGGGTGAAGCAGCTGCAGGAGAGCAGCACAAGGCAAGTGTCTTGGGTAGCATCAAAGGACACTTCATAAAGAAATGAAGCATCAGCATTTCTGATCAGAAGACACTGACTAAATAAATAGATGGGAACAAATTTCCCTTTCTGAAGAAGAACAAATTTCAACACTAAGAATTCAGCTTTAAGTCATACCTCCATTTACAAATTTGTTAGTTATACCAACATGCAGTCCTCTCAGAGGGATCTTAAAACCACACTCCAGCTACAGAGGACAGTTTTTTGATTCTTTGTAAGGGGAAGCTGAGAGAATACACATTAAGCCTAAACATTGGCTTAGCCTTCTTCAGAAATGCATAAAGAACTCTTCTGGTTAGTTGTGCCCTGTGGGTTCATGAGAGAGACACAGGAATACACTCCGTGTTGGATAGCCTCAAAGTGTTACCCCGTAAATAGCTTTTGGGTCTGTGTGAGACATGCCCTTCACCAGGCTCCGTAGGCTTGCGGCTTTATCACAGAATTACAGAACGGTCAGGGTTGGAAGGGACCTCTGGAGGTCATCTAGCCCAACCCCCCTTGCTAAAGCAGTGTCAGCTCCTGCACATTGTATAGGACAAAGTCCAGACATAAGCTGAAGCAGAACCATCCTTTAGGGACAAGGGGATTTCGTGTCACCCAGAGGATGAGGGCTGGAAGTAGCAGCGCACATTTCTTTCCAGTCACCCTTCCACCCTCTACCCACCATCCTGACCCAAAGCTGGAGATAGTCTGAGGATGAAAAAGACATCTCAGTGTCTTCCTCTTCAGTAGCATGGGGGGATGCATGTGGAGAGGGTTACACTGGCACATCAAGACATGCTGGAGGATGGACTGGGCTGTCACATGCCATAAGAGAAGCAACAGTTTGAAATTGCAGGTGGACACTGTGCGTTTGTAAATGTAAGATAGCCAAGCCAAGGCACGTGAGCAAGAAAGAAATTACATAGGACTTGTGTCCAAGGTGGACAAGCCTGGCTGGAAGGTTCATTCCATCCACTAATTTCCTCTGTGTCTTTCTCTTTCCTTATTGCTGCAGGAAGCTGCTGAAATCTACCCTCGTCCTTATGCCTCTGTTTGGCGTTCACTATATTGTTTTCATGGCTATGCCATACACAGACGTGTCAGGGATTCTTTGGCAAGTTCAAATGCACTATGAAATGCTGTTCAACTCTTTCCAGGTATTGTAACTGTTAAAGTACAGGGGCAAACTATGAGAATTTCAGTGGGAACAGAAGGGAAATGAGAGTGGAAGGTGTTGTCTTTGGAAGCAGGGCTATTTTTACAATACACCAGATTTCATTCGCAAGGTGTTTTGACAGTATTTTAGCATCAGGTGTGTTTTATATTTGCAAAACACAATGT